TAACAAATCTAAAAGAAGTGTTAAAACGTGAGGAAGTATATTGAAAAGATTCTAAATTTCATATTAGTTGGAGATATATCCATGAAAAAGTATATAGCGTGACCCCTCTCCTTCTATAAGCCAGATTTGTAATAAAAATGTTCATCTTATATTTATCCTAGTTAGTAATGAAATGTTTGTATGTTTCTTATATGATTTGAATACTCTTTTCAAATTTTCTCTCCAACTATCACATTCTAAATTGTATCCCTATTCTAAATTGTATCTCTATCTCTTCTTAACATTGTGTCTCTTTCTCTCATCTTCTTTTTATTATTTTTTCTTAATTTCATCTATTCTATTACATTTGTTTTAATTGAAGGAGAAGGATGGATGAAAGAAGAAGATCCATAATCACGTTATTTTGTTGGTTTTTGTAAAAACTCCTCTAAAGCAAACCGATGTGGGTGCTCTAAATTCTCTATAGCCATTAAACATCTCATTCTATCTCTCTTCTCACCACATCACTAGTATACACACCATTTTCTCTATTTTATTTCGCTTTCAAGGTGTATAAAAATATGTATACCTATGAAATATATCTCTACAATTAAACTCATATTTTGAAATGATAGAAATAAAGTCATAGATCATTTATTATTTTGATTTTAGAGATGAAAACATTGCTTTCAAACAAAAAGTAAAGAAGATAACATCATCCTAAAATGCGCCCGCCACCAACATAGTAACTTTAATCAATACATACTCTCTCCTTTATAAGCAATCTCTCTTCCCTCCATTCTGCCTTGTACTCCTCTTACCACAACTCAATTCAAATCATCTCTCTCTCTCTCTCTCTCTCTCACTAACTCATTAATCATTATTGCTCTGTTCTGTTCTCTCATTAATCAATGTCTTCTCCCATGTTTCTAGCACTACTCTGTTTCGTACTCTGTTTTTCACTCTCATTTCAAATGATCCTATTACCCTTAACACACTCAATTTCCAAAACCCAATTCAATAGTACCCAACACCTCCTCAAATCAACCTCAACCCGTTCCACAAAGCGCTTCCACCACCAACACAACAACCACCACAACCAACCCCAAGTTTCTCTCCCACTCTCTCCAGGCAGTGATTACACACTTTCCTTCAACCTAGGTTCAAACCCTCCACAACTCATAACTCTTTACATGGACACAGGCAGTGACCTCGTCTGGTTCCCTTGCTCCCCTTTCGAATGCATCCTCTGCGAAGGCAAACCACAAACCACAAAACCCGCAAACATCACAAAAGCACACTCTGTTTCATGTCAATCCCCTGCATGTTCCGCTTCACACGCAACCTTGTCTTCTAGTGATCTCTGTGCTATTTCACGCTGTCCCTTAGACTTCATTGAAACTTCTGATTGTTCTTCTTTCTCTTGTCCACCTTTTTACTACGCTTACGGCGACGGAAGCTTCGTCGCTAATCTCTATCGTCATACACTTTCTCTCTCTTCTCTTCTTCTTCATAACTTCACCTTTGGTTGTGCTCACACCGCCCTCGCTGAACCCACCGGTGTCGCTGGTTTCGGCCGTGGACTTCTCTCTCTCCCTGCTCAGTTATCCACCCTCTCACCTCATCTGGGTAATCGTTTTTCTTATTGTTTGGTTTCTCATTCTTTCGACGGTGACCGAGTTCGTCAACCGAGTCCACTCATTCTCGGCCGTTACGATACTACCGTCGGAGAAGATATTGAGTTTGCCTACACTTCCATGCTTTCGAACCCTAAGCACCCTTATTATTACTGCGTTGGTCTCGCCGGGATATCCGTCGGGAAGAAAACAGTGCCGGCGCCGGAGATTCTCAAAAGGGTAGATGAGAAAGGTAACGGTGGAATGGTTGTTGATTCTGGAACAACGTTTACGATGTTGCCGGAGATTTTTTATAACGCGGTGGTTGCTGAGTTCGATAAACGAGTAGGACGAGTTCACAAGAGAGCGAGTGAGATAGAAACGAAAACGGGTCTTGCACCGTGTTATTATTTAAACGGATTTTCACAGATACCAACGATGACGTTGCATTTTGTTGGGAATAGTTCGGGTGTGGTGTTGCCTAGGAAGAATTATTTTTATGAGTTTTTGGACGGTGGTGATGGGAAGAGAAGGAAAGGGAAAGTGGGGTGTATGATGCTGATGAACGGTGGTGATGAAACTGAGTTAGATGGTGGACCTGGAGCTACACTAGGGAATTATCAACAGCAAGGATTTGAGATAGTGTATGATTTGGAGAAAGAGCGCGTGGGTTTCGCTAAGAAAGAGTGCGCGTTGCTTTGGGATAGCCTCAACAGTGACAAAAACTAACTTCCATGGTGTTCTGAGTATCACTCGATTATTTGCCTCTGATTGGAGTTTCATTCATGGGTCGGGTCGAGCTAAATGTAAAAGTTAAATAAGCCGGCGATGATTGGTCCATGACCCGTTATCTTATGTGTACAATACATGAACCAAGTACATAGGACAAATTTAATTTATTTTAATGCTTGTTTGTATTGTAATAGTCATTATTAATTCATTATGTAATTAACACGGTGTATAAAGTGGAATTTAAATAGAGTACACTGATACTCTCTCTCTTTTTTAAATGTTATTTTTTGATTTTTTTATATATATTAAAAAAATTAATCAATATTGTTATTTTTTAAATAATGATTCTTATTTTACATATAATATTTTTAAATATTTTTTACATTCATTTTTTCTTTTCTACAATTAATATTCAAGGATAATTTTAACAAAATTGTAATTAATATTACATTAAACTTTGTAAGTAACAATTAAAAAGAACAAAAAAAATTATTAAAAAAATGACACTTAAAAAGGAACGGGTAAATATGTTTTACTATAAGATATAAGAGAGATCGGAGAATAAAGATTGTTATTGTTAAAAAATTATATAAAATTAAATTATAAACCGTAACTCTAATTAATTTGGGTTTGAGCTACAAACTAATCATGGTTGGTCTGAAATATTTCTAATTTGATTTACAAAGTTAGGAAACTGTTGATCTTCAATTATTTGGAATGTCAGCCAACTGTATTTCACTCGAACAATGTCTCACTTCAAATTCAACATGGTTTACATTTTCCCCTTAGGAAATGAAACTTAGTCTCTATGTGCTCATTCCTTCCATGTAGGACTAGATTCTTTGCAAGATTAATGGCTGACTTATAGTCGATCTGCAACACCATAGGTTTTTTCACTTCGACCTCCATCTTTTTCAGCACATATCTGATCCAAATTGTTTGACAAACAACATAGGATCCTACTATATATTCAGCCTCACATGATGATAATACCACCACAGGTTGTTTTCTCAAGCACCAAGATATTGGGACACCAAATACTTGAAAGAAATAACGAGTTATGCTTCTTCGATCTTCCTTATCTCCACACCAATCGACATCTGAATAACAAGTAATCTCAGCTTATTTGCTTTCAGAATCTCATCGAAATAAGAATTTATAGTTTGTCGATCCTTTTAAGTATCTCAAGATTCTTTTTGCAGTCTTTATGTGTGACACCCTTGGTTCACTCATGTATCTGCTCACAAATCCGATTGAGAAACCTATATCAGGTCGACTGTTGCACACATATCTTAGAGATCCGATAATTTGTTTGAACAAAATGGCATCGAATTTGTCTTTCTCTCCATGCTTCTCCAACTTCAAATTTGGTTCAACAGGTGAGAATGTAAGATTCGAGTCTTCCATCCGGAATCTCTTGAGTATCTCTTTGACATAATTTCTTTGATGTAGCATCATACCTTACTTCAACATTTGAAATTCTATGCCTAGGAAGTACGACAACTTTCTCAAATCTGACATTTCAAATTCCTTCTTCATAAACTCTTTGAACTTTAACAAGTTCTCCAAGCTATTTCCAGTCACTAACAAATCATCGACATATAAGCAAATGGTTGTTATATCACGTGTCATAACTAGGGATGTTTTTGGGTCGGTTTACCCAAGATTCACCTGTGAACCGGCCCAATAGAGCCGAACCAATGGACCGACCGAAACGCTACTCAGTCCGAGAATAGATAATTTTTTTATTTGATACCCGAAAATAGAACCGAACCAAGTATCTAATAAGTACACGACATTGATTAGTATATATTCTTCCATCCAAACCCTAGTCAACACAAATCTCTCATCTCCCTCTCCAACTCAGCCTCCTCTTCTCCCACTCTCTATCTGATATGGGTTTTTGTCTCTTAAGTGTTGTTTTATTTGTTCTTGAGTGTTCTATTATCTGTTATTGAGTGTTTCTATCTTGAGTTCATGAATCGTTCAAGCCAAAAGCTTGTAATGTCTTCAACCTTTCATTTTTTTTTTCATTTTATTATATGTTTTTTACCATGTTCGTTAATCTTGAGTGTTTTATTTATTTTAGCTAACATGATTTAATTGTTGTTTGTACATGCATGTTTTAATTTTGACATGCGTTTTGACTTATGTTGTTGAGTTTTGCCAATTATTATATTATTGTTTGATTGATATTGTATTTCCTTCCATGACTTTTCAAGATTCATCATTGAATGCAATCATGGGTGATCTTGATATTGAAATCAATCTTGATGGGGGAGGAAGAGACAGTGGATGGAAATATAGAGATTAGTGAGATGATTTATTTAGAGCTTCCAATTGATAGCACTATTCAGAATACTACTGATGGGTCAACCCCTCTAGGTGACCAAGATTAGAGTACTTAAAGAAATGCCTTTGGTAAAGCTCCCTGTCCCAAAAAATATGTTGTGCAGATGGCGTGGTAAGCTTTACACTTATGATGTGAAGTGGAAATGTACTTCTAATGGTAAGAAACATTTAGAAGCTTGTACTTAGATAAAGTTGAGGTTGAAAGGTAATAATAATAAAGAGGTTGCACAGTCTAGGTTAAATGTAAGTGGTAGCGCTAGTACTCCTAGTTTAGAAACTTGGAAATATAATCATGCCTGGGTTAGAGAACTTGCAGCACATATGGTTCTAGGTCATGAATTTCCTTTTTATGTTATGGAAGGTGTTATCTTTAATGAGTTTCTAATAGAGGTTTATCCATGGTACAAAAAGATTACTAGGCAACAGTTTAAGCTTGATTGTAAGACATTTTATGAGGCTGAGAAAGTTAAGATGAAGAAATCAATGTCTTTGATTAACAGGACCAGTCTTACAACTGACTTGTGGTGGCCTGGTGAACATAAAATATGTTATATGACTGTGATTGGTCATTTCATTTTCAAAATGACAGCTTCACAAAAGAGTTTTATCTTTTAAGAATGTACCACCACCATATTCTGAGGAGGTTCTTTGAATGGATTTGATTAAGGTGATGGGTGATTGGGGAATAAAGGATAAAGTTGTTTCAATTTCAGTAGATAATGCTAGTGCCAATGTTAACTGCATTGTTAGATTGAAGAGAGATTATTCTGGTAAGACAAATGTACCATTAGATGGTAAACCGTTTCATGTGATGTGTTGTGCACACATCTTAAATTTGTTGGTTCAGGATGGTCTTGATATGATTAAGGATATTATTGATAAGATTAGAAATGGTGTGAAATACTTGCTCAATTCTGAAACTGGATGCAAAGCTTTCAAAAAATTTGTTGTTGAGTTGCAACTTGAAGGCAGAATGAAAGTATTGGATACTAAGACAGGTGGAACTCAACCTGGTTAATGTTGTCCACTGCATGCCACTATAGATAAGTGTGGCCTAGATATGCTGAGGAAAATGGTGCATTTCTCAACTTTTTGCCTAAGGGAAATGATAGGGAAGATGTTCATGATATTTATAAATTTTGGAGGTTTTTGCTGATGTTACATCAATTATAAGTGGCACCTCTTATCATACTGCCAATTTGTTCTTGGTTGAGCTTTACAGGGTGAAGGTGCTACTTGATCAACCTTCACGCATCTCACATAATCCTCGGCTGCAAATGCTTGCTACTGAAACGAAGTTGAAATATGAAAAGTATTGTTCAAAGTCCAATACATTGATATTTATTGGTGCCATTCTTGATCCAAGGTATGTACAAGTAGATTAAATTATGTTGCCATTGTATTTTGTTGCATTATACTTTAGGTAACTATTTGATATTCTTATGATGAAACCAAACATATATATATATATATCACAGTTGCATTCACATATATGATATTTCTAAGGCTATTCAATGTGTTGCCATTGTACTTTGTGGCATTGTACCTTAGATAGCTAGTTGTCTGCTTGGTATGCCTATGATTAAATTAAATTGTGAATTATGTTGCCTTGTGATTCAATTGTGCCTATGATGAAATCAAACTCTGAGGCCAATTTTGTTGCCTTGTGAATTATGTTGTCTTGTGAAGTTGTGATTCAATTGTGCCTATGATGAAATTAAATCCTGAGGCCAATTATATTGTCTTGTGAATTATGTTGCCTTATGATTCAATTGTACCTATGATGAAATTAAATTCTAAGGCCAATTTTGTTACCTTGTGATTTTATTATGATGCCTTGTGATTCTGTTACCTAGTAAAGCCAATGAATCCTATGCTTCCAAGTGAATTTGCAATTGTTTCCTAAGTTGTTGGCAAATCTACTTGATCAAATAGGTATAAGATAATCTTCATCAAATGGGTATATCAGTTCTTGTATCCAAATCTTACTCAAGCAAATGCCTATCAACAAGAGTTGTCAACCAACTTAAACTCCCTCTTCCAATCGTATCAAGATACTTATAGAACCAATGATTCTGATTCCCCTGCATCTGAAACTCTTGAAGTAGGATCTAGTTCTAGTTCTGGATTGGGAAGGAGGAATTTTGAGATGTTTTTAGAAATTGTTGTGGATAATAGTAATTCAAAAACTGATCTTGAAACGTATCTTGATGAGCCTTCCTTAAAAGTTTCTTTTAAAGCTAAGTTTGATGTTTTAACATGGTGGATGAGAAGTGAATCAAAGCATCGTGTTCTTAGTAAATTGGCAAAGGATATCCTAACTGTTCCAGTTACTATTGTTGCTTCAGAAGAAACTTTTAGTGATGGAAAAATGGTTATTGATGAAACAATATCTATTAAAACTAAGACATTTGAAATGGCAGTTCGTGGGGGTGATTGGGTGAAGGAGATGTATGAAATTAAGAAGGGTTGTACTGTTAGTGTTATAAGTAACTTTTCTACATTTCTGTTTTTTGCTTAATATGTTTTCCATTTTCCTAAATTTTTTGCAACTCTAATTTTATGCATTTACATATGTAGCTTGAAGAACCACAAGATGAACCTTTAACATATAATTTTGGTGAAGATCCAGGTGTCGCTTCGACAACTACAACTTGGAGATTTGTATTTTGCATTATGCGAATGACAAGATTGTTCTGAGGCATCAAAAATGTAATCTCCTTGTGTAGTGTTTTGAGAATTGAAGTTTTTTGTGTTATGTTTATGCACTTTTTAGCACTTATGCAATTATGCTAATGTCAGAATTGAACAATTATGTGTTGGATACTCTTCTGGATACTATATTGGATACTTTTTTTTCGGTTTTGTATACTTTTTTAGGTTTCTGAAATTTTTTCTGTTTTTTTTGTTCTATTTTGGGTGGTCCGAGTACCCGCCTGAAAAAGTACTGGTCCAATTTCGGTCCCAAAAAAAGACCATCACTATTACGGTCCGGTCTCGGTTTACCCAAAAGTATCGGTCTGATTTCAGTCCAACAAAATAACCCATCACTATTTCGGTTCGGTCTCGGTTTACCAGATTACTGTTTCGGTCCACTTCTTGAGAGAGTAAATATCCAGGCCGGACCGAAAATAACCCTAGTTATAACCTGAACATAGACACCATACATAGATTTGCATTTGATGAATCTCAATTCAACCAAGTATGAGTTTGTGTTCTTGTTTCATGCCCTAGGTGCCTGCTTGAGGCCATAGAACACTTTGTGCATCATGTATACTTTCCTTGCTTCCTCCCAATATCACAAACCCAAGAGGTTGTGTGACATATACCTCTTCATCTAGAGGACCATTCAAAAAATTTGATTTCATGTCTAAGTGTAGTGTTGGCCAACCTTTCCTACATGCCAAGGCTACCACCAATCGAAAAGTCTTCAACCTTGCTACTGATGCATATACTTCAGAGTAGTAGAGTCCTGCTCTTTGAAGAAATACTTGAGCTACTAATCTTACCTTGTGTCTTGCAATCGACCCATCAGGATTGTGCTTTAGTTTAAACACTCATTTCACTTTGATAGCTTTTGTATGTGTTGACAATTCGACTAATTCACATGTGTTATTTCTTTCAATCACTTGTAAATCTTCGACCATAGATTCCTTCCATTGTTTATTTTGAAGGCCTCACTATAGTTGATTGGTTCAACACCTGCAAGTAAAGCGAAATGAACTAAATCTTCATCTGGTGTGACTTCATCATCATTGACCATTTCACAATCTTGAAGCATTGATGGGAGTACTCTTGTTCTTTGAGATATTTGGCTTGTGCTACCCACAACCTCTCAATTATCTACTTCGACTTCGGTTGAGGCTGGAACATTATCAACTACTTCAACTTCAACTTTATCATTTTCTTCGGCGATGTCATAACTCATCAAAGGCTTGTTAATTGCATCACTAGAATTCTAATCCCAGGAAGAGCTTTTATAAATTACAACGTACTCATTATGATCTTATGGTTCATTGGATTGAATAACCTGTATGCTCTAGTCTTATGATATTCTACCAGAATCATAGGTTTTCTTTTATCATCAAGCTTTCTTCTTCTTGCATTAGAAACATGCTTGTAGCAAATAGAGCCAAACACCTTCAGCTGACTCACCGATGACAAATTGCCACTCTACACTTCTTCATGAACCTTATTCTCTAGCTTCTTGCTAGGGCACCTGTTTAGAATTAACTATTGTTATAACTTCACTCCATAAGGACTTTGACAAATTCTTTTGCTTCAACATGCATCTCGCCATATCCAGTATGGTTTTGTTTCTTCTTTACGCTATTCCATTATGTTGAGGCGTGTAAGGGGAAGTTACCTCATGATCAATACTATGTTCTTCATAGAACTCGTCAAATATCTTGGATGTGTATTCGCCGCCTCCATCTATTCACAGAACCTTGATCTTCTTTTCACTTTTGTTTTTGACAAGCATCTCGAATCTCTTAAAGATTTCAAATACTTCGTCATTTTTCTTGATGGCATATATCCAAATATTTTGACTATACTCATTGAAAAATGAGATAAAATACATGTTTCCACCAATGGTATGATCCTCGAACGGGCCATATACATCTGAATGTACTACTTCTAGTATGCAAGAGGACCTCATTGGCATAGTCGAAACAAAATACTTTATGGATTACTTACCTACTAAGCAACCTTCACAGAGTTTGTTGGGCATCTAAAGACTTGGTATACCAATTACCATATATTAAGTAATTAGTTGAATGAGTGACCTAAAATTTAAATGGCCAAACCTTAAATCCCATAACCAACTATTCTTATGATCGACAACTGTTTTAAAGCATTGTACCTCAGTCGAGCTAATCATGGTCTTAAATATTATGTTCTTCAACAAAGGAGATTTTAAGACCAGATTATCCTGAATGTTAAATAACTCGAATGCTCAATTCTTCATAACATCTGAAAAACTTTTTTTCCACCAGTTATCCAACCCTTAACATATTGCACTTCATGCTAGGTACATAAAGGACATCTTTGATCATAACTTTAACTATATTACTCATTTGAATAACTATGTTTCCAGTACCTTATACTTCCAATGAGCTATTATCTGCACGTTTGGACTTGCTTTTCTTTGACTCGTCGAACTCTGCTAGCCACTCTATTTGACCAGTCATGTGATTCAAATAATCTGTGTCAAGAAACCAGATCTTGGAGTCAACATACTCATCTACAATTGCAGCCATAAGCCTAAAACCATCTGAATCATCTGAAGCTTACCTAGCAAAATTTTCTCATTCATTATTGCCTTTTGTTGCTCCTTTGTCTTTCTTGTACCAATAATTGTTGGCCAGGTGACCCCACTTGTCACAGTTACAACATTGCACACTCCTTCAACCTTCTTTATTATCTTTCTAATAGGAGGTTCATCCTCCTCTTGTCGAGGATTCAAAAGTCCTATCTTCGGCCTTATGCTTTTGAGGATTCACCAAAGACTTCTTATTCTGAGTCTTGTCTCCTTTGCCCTTGAACTTGTTAGAACCACCATGTTTGTTCGATGTTTGAGCTTGTAGAGCTTGTATCACATCTTGAACACCTTTCCTTTCTATAATCCTCATCTCATGTGTCTCCAACGAACCAACCAAATCTTCCAATTCCAATGTTTCATGATTAATGGATTCTTGAATAGAAATGATAATGTGATCAAAGTAAGAGGTCAACATACATATTACCTTCTCAACTATCATCTTATCAGCTAGGGTTTCACCATAATGTTTCATGAGATGAACAAGCTTCTGCACATTCGAGATATAGCCTGTAATCTTTTCTTCTTCTCCCATCTGTAGTAATTCATAATGCCTTTGCAACGTCTGTAATTTGATGACTTTAACCATCTCATCTCCTTCATAATACTTGACAAGAATATCCCAAGTCTCCTTCGTCGATTCAGCATGAGAAATCAGATCAAAGTTCATTGCGTCTACCACCTTTTAAACATAAAATTCAGTCTTGCAGTCTTTCTTATTTGCCTCCTTGATCACGACTCTCTGAGCATCAGTTGCGTTCTTAGAAAGCTCAGGGACGCCATTATTAACCACTTCTAGGTTTCATGAAATCCAAACAGAGATTGCATTTATTTTCTCCATCGGATCTAATTCTTGTCGTCAAGAATTAGAAGAGAATTTGGAATGTCATTATTACCATTCATCTTTGCAGCAAACATGATGAACAATCTACTATCCTGGAAACACGATCGTTGATATGTGATTCTTGAAAACACAATCAAGAAACTAACTGGAGCCCTAAATATCAATTTGTTAGTTCATGAGGCATCTTTAGCGAGGAGAGAAAAAAAGTGAATGAAGAATAATGATTGTTATTGTTGAAAAACTATATAAAACTGAATTACAATATGTGTATATATAGAACTAAGTAACTAACATAACAAATTCTAACCCTAACTAACTTGGGTTTGGACTACAACTTGAATTATATCACAACATTAGTTCTTTCTTAATACTTTTAGGATAAATTATTTGTAACGTTTTTTAATGTTAGTGATTCTTTCAAAAGTAAAATTTATTGTATTTTGTTATGTGAAAATGTTAAAGATTTTCTTAGTATATTATAATTTTTTATTTATTTATTTTTCTATCATTATAACGATTTCTTTAGATTTTTGTTCAAAATAAAATAAAATCATCGAGGTTAGATTTCACATTTTCATATGACAATTTATCCGACTGGTAAATGATTTGCATCCAACTATATAAATTTTAATGTGTTAACAATCCTATCTCACATGATTAATTTTTTTAATCAAATTAAGACCTTGACGATAATCACTGACTTAAAATTTTCTTTTGATTTTCTTTTCTTCTCTAGTAGAATCCCATTTCGCTTGATTTTTCGTTTTTGTTCCATTGCCATGGATAAATGGAAAAATCTACCATTATCCAAGGAGGAGGAAGGAGTTATGGCGGTGGTGGAAGAGGTATGTGGTGAAGAGATTTTCCAATGAATCCTAGCGGGAAAGTTGTGGACGGATAATAACTTCAACAATCGAGCTTTTACATCTATGATGATAAGCGCATGGAACCTTAAGAACCCCGTAGAAACACAAGAACTGAGTAAGAATCTTTTCTTTTTCCAATTTGCAGCCAAAAGAGATCTTGAGAATGTCCTCCGAAGTGGTTGTGGAGTTTTGATACGAACCTTCTTGTCCTAGCTCGAGTCTTTGATGAAGAACAACGATCAGATCTAAACATGCACTATGGTGTCTTTTGGGTGAGGATCTATGACCTGCCTTTAATACTAAGGTCAGAAACTATGGCAAGGAAACTAGGGGGCATCTTGGGAACTTTTGAAGAAATGGACCAAAAGGAAGCTCACAGAAATAGTATATTCCTCAAAATAAAAGTTACAATAGGTCTCAAACAACCGCTAAACATTGGTACCGTGGTTCATTTAAAAGAAAGAAATTTAAGAGTCCACTACAAATATGAGTGTCTCCCTACCTTTTGTTTTATGTGTGGAAAGATATGTTACCAATTAAAAGACTGTGAGGCGATAAGGGAGCTTGGTGAAGAGGGTTTTGAAGACCTAGATGAATAAGACTTATCCTTTAAGTTATGGCTTAGAGCGTCTCCGCTACCAAAATCGATAGAGGAACCAAGAAAGAAGGATTCCAATTCTAACAACTATAGTAAAAGTTTGTTTAACAACTCTACAAGTCAAAGTAGATGTGAGAATGAAGCTATGGAGAAAGAAGAAACCAGGGTGGAAGTGGAACAAGCTAGAGGAAAGTCTATCATGGAAAAAGGGATCCCATCAGAGAAAGGAAGCAACTCAAAAAATAACCTCTTGGAAAAGAATGAGCTAATAACACAAAGGATACTACAACTAACAGGAGGAAATGGACAAGAAGGAAAGGGGTTAGGAAGGCAGAGGTTAACCAAATTATCCAGAAGGACCTTGAAATTAGAAAAAGGCAGCTGGTTGATGTTATGATTACTAAAGGAACTATGAAGGACTATGGAAGCAATGATAAGAAAAGGAAACACACTAGGGAGGGAGGTGCGATACAAACTGAACCAGAGGTAGTATTGGTAGACTAACACCGCCTAACCCAATGAAAATCATAAGTTGGAACTACAAGGGGTTGGGGGTCCCCGTGCAGTTCGAGCCTTTGAAGCTCATTCGTTTGGAAAACCCTGATTTGGTATTCTTGATGGAGACTCGCCTAAGGTTGGAGGAAGGCATGCTGATCAAAGTTAGGTCTGGTTTTGATTGTTGTCAGGTTGTGGATTGTGTAGGTGATGGAAGAAGAAGAGCGGAGGCTTATGTTATTATGGAGGGAGGCTGTGAAACTTAACAACTTAGCTTTCTCAACTAATCACATAGGAGGTGTCGTAGAAGACATGAGGAACAATCAAAAGTGATTCTTCAATGGAGTGTACGACTTTCTTGAAGAGATAAACAAAAGAAAAACTTGGCAGGTGCTGGAGAATATGGTTAGGAATGAGGGAGATGAGGTGGTCTGTTTTGGAAATTTTAATGACATTTTAATGTCATAACCAGCTTCTCCCTAATCCATCCAGTTTTTCGTTTTTAGTAAAAATGTCATTAAAATCCCCAAAACAAACCACCCCATCTCCCAATTTCTAACCACATTCTATAATATATATTTTTATCTTATTTTTATAAATAATATTTATGACAGTATAAATTTTATGTGTTTAATATGAATCTTTAAAAGTGAAAACTTACTATTTTAAAATAATATATGAACTTTATAATAAAAATAAAAAATAAAAAATATTTTTGTCAAAATTTACTAAATAATTTAAAATCTATCAATAAATCGTTTCATACATTTTTGCTCTCATTTATTAAATTTTCAAATTTTCTAGACCCACCTCTTTATATAACACCTGAGAATTTAACCTGACACCCCTCACTTAAACTTAACACTCCATTAATCATGACGAAATTATCTTATTATTTTTAATTTTTTTTGGAAATTATAAAATTTACAATAGTATATCGAAAATTTTAAAATATTTCTATTTTTTTTATCGAAAATTTTCGGTAAAAAATAAAAATTTCCAGTAAAACATAAAAATTTTCGAGAAAAAAAATGAAAAATACCAGAAATTCCTTTTTTTTTACATTATCGAAAATATCAAAATTTCTGGTACAGTATAAAAAATTTCAAAATTTTTAATAGTGTAAACTTGTTTTTTGAAAATTTTCACTATAAAAATTTCCGACAGAGTATTGAAAATTTTGATGTTCTTTGTATATTTTCTGAATTTTTTATTTTTATTGAAAATTCAAAATTTCGGTAAAAAAATAAATTTTTTTCATTTGTTTCAGCAGTTTTAAAATTATAAAAACTGGAGTTGTCAAATATAATTTAAAGTTGTGGCAGATAAAATTCTCATAATACGTATATCCATCAATCCGGCAAAACACTTTTTATAAATGAGGAAAGTTCATCGGAATAATAATTCAAACTCGAGGTAGTGACAAGTTTGATGAATAAAGAAATATATATATATATATATATATATATATATATATATATATATATATATATATATATATATATATATATATATATATATATATATATATATATATATATATATATATATATATATATATATATATATATATATATATATATATATATATATATATATATATATATATATATATATATATATATATATATATATATATATATATATATATATATATATATATATATATATATAAGGTTTAATTAATCAAAAAGTTTAATATTTATAATACACTCTATGTCTTAGAATTGTCAATCTAGTGATAAAAGTCTGACCTTATAACTAATGAATTATGGTTCAAAATAATTTGGCCGATTAAATATAATACTATATGTTAGGACAAGGAAACACTACTCAAAATAAGTTTGGTGAAGTTTGGTTGGAGCATTACAATCAAGATTGTTCATTATTGTCACGGAAGATATAGCCATGTAGGACATGGAATTCCTGATGTTTTAGTGCATGGACTCTTCCTAGCGTCCCCTCACTAGTGGTTAGGGGTGTTCACATGTATAATTCAATGTAATTAAGAATGAGTTAATTCAAATGAAAAAGATTTGAATCAAAAAGTGTTTAGTTTGAATGATTAGAGCTAAAAGTCTCACGTTAAATATGATATAAAATAAACATATTTATAAGTGTTAGCATATGTTTAAAAATGGAATAATTTTAAGTGAGAAAGACATCACATATTCATTTAAAACTTTAAGGTGATATGCTTTCACAATGCTTCCCTTTTCTACTTCCACATACATTTGTATCACCGTTGATACTCTTCAACGAGACGAGATTTTTAACTAGGGAGCATTGAACATTGGGTCAATAGCAACACAAGTGAGAGAGACACCACATATTCACCCTAAATCTTAAGGTGATAGGTGTGTGAGTTCTCCCACTTATAAATGCTCAAGTCTTCACATTTCTAACCAATGTGAGACTATTAAACATACTACTCACACTTGTTATACTTAACAGTTCCATGATGACCATTTATGTTAGTTTTGGTTTGTCGATTATATAATTAATAATAACATATTTGTTTAGTACGTGCGAAACATCTTTTTTCAGTACCATAAGACACTTGAGAAACTGAAGTGTGTCTGTCATGATCGAAAGAAATTTAATGTCATGCATCCTAATGAGCCATAATTTTGGAATATACTAACAACATATGGGGTGAAAAAAGTTACACATACTAGATATACAAATACTAACCACAAAGTGTTGCCAGTATTTGGTGAGAGATGTAACTCTAAGACATCGTCCTTTCATCTCTAGATTGGTGAGATGACCCTCACCCTAGACAATGTGTCATGTCTACTCCACCTACCTACCTACTCTAGTCCAACTATATGTTCATTATATAATTCATAGGTTTGAGCCAATACACATGATGAATTAAGAGTAGATATTCGATCACAAGGAGGTCCAATCATAGATTAATCAAACACAAGAACATCATGCAAGGTTTGAATGGATGGATGATTTGTACACCAGTTGCTTGAATTCCTCTATTGTTCTTTATGATGATGGCGATCTCAAAGAGCATTGCAGACTTTGTGTCATCATAAATTTGTACTAATAAAAAAGTACAAGTGTATGTGTCACCCTTGCAAAAGGCATGGATGCCCAAGGACCATAGTATGTATATTATGTTGTATGGTGCTTAGGGCTTGTTCACAGCAGAGAGAAACCATGTATGATGTGTTTTATGTTGGGCTAGAGGGCCTGCTCACGCGAGGTGAGATACTCTTTATGTGAGTGGAGTACTTAGGTATAACATGCATTTTTTCCCTCTAGGGACAAATGTCGAACAAGTTGTCCTAGATAACTGGTTCGACAAGTTAAACCAGTTTGACAATAATGAATATTAGCTTTTACAAGACGATGAAACATTAAGGAATAAAGAGAACACCAGAGATTGATAACTCAACTCGGTGAAACCACCCTACGCCTGGAGGCTACTCTACCCAAGAAAGGAAATTCACTATTAGTAGTTTAGTACACTTAGTCTTACAAGCAACAACAATCTCATGTTGTTCAATGTCTCTTCCTAACACTGCCAATGACTTTTTATTTACAGATTCTCCCTAAATATGAGAACCTACTCACTTTCTTCTCAATCACACAACCTGTGATTGGTGTTTACAACTCAATAACAAAGTTGAATGTCACAACTCAACTAAGACAAAACTATTATGCAGTTACTAAAACATAGAGGTGTACATAAAGATTCTGCACTAATTCGGTTATGATAATATCATAGAATGCAAGAAACACAATGTTCACAAACTTATAGACTTAACATCTTGAAACAAGGTTTACAATTCAATATAACCAAACTTTATGCCTTATAATATAAAAGGAGATGCTAGAGTGGTGCACATACAAATAATTAAAAGGAAAACACAAGCACTAGGCATCTTTAAAAAATTCACGCCTTGCATACCTCAAAAGTGAGGTTTGAGTCTCCTTAAATATCAATGTAATTTTTCACTTTTCTCCTTGTGGATCTGCATTTAATTTCATCTTGAATCTTTGCATAATCAGTTGGATAAGATTGGTTCCATAAATATCTCCAAGAGAAAGATATGTTTTGGTTTAAATTCAAATTCAAATTTAAAGCACATTTAAATTTGATTTGATCTTCAAAATTTTCCAACAAATCATATAATCATCTTGCTAAATAAAATCAATAAAATCTAACCGAATCTTCAAAAAGAGATTTGTTCCAAAATACAATAATCTGACCTATTGAGCAAGATCCAGATGTCATACCCACATGTTGTGGCACCGCGTCCAACATGCGTCCCTTGTGTACCAGTACATCCAAATACTTTCCTCTCAATAACTTGTAGATCTTCTAATGTAAAGAAAGTATTGGATATATAAGACACTAAAATATTATCTTTCTGTTGTAAGAGATCTGATGTTGCTGCTAACAATAACATCTGTCTTGTTGATGAAGACCAAATGTCATACCAAATATGTTGGAATATTTTAGTTCCACATGTTACAATAGAGCATCCAAAATGAATCTTCTTCATATAAGTCTTCTTTGTAGAGTAGTTCTTAGACCTAATATTCCTTGAAGGTACATTCAATCAAATCTTCTTTGACTGAGATAATTCCAAATCTTTTCCAGTTGATTTTGGATTATCAACACAACCTTTTTCGCAAAAGAAAATTTTTGGATCATCTAAAAAAGTTAGCACCTTACCATTTTTGAAGGACATCAAAAGAAAATCTTATTCCAAACCTTATGGCTATTGTTTAACTGGTTCTATTAAACACTTTATCCAATCAGTTATTGCTTAACTAGTTCTGTCAATCACTTTAGCCAAACAACCCTTCTTGGAAACAAACTCAGATGTTGGAACACATGTTATAACATCTTGTTCCACATGTTGCCTAAATTACATCTTGTTCATGTGTTGTTTTACCAAAAGTAGACAATCTAAAAGGAACAACAATCCCCACATTTGATAAATTTTTGGCTAAAACAACTATAAGATCTGTTTTTCATGACGAAGCACAAGTAGCACAACATATCACCCAATATAATCATATCATCATAGTGTAGCAGTAGGAGTATCCTATAAGTCAGGTGATTGCTACACATCTTCTTCAAGAGATCAACTCCATTACCCTTTTTTTTTGTTATAATTTGATAAAGGAAAGGGATAAACATTTATGTCTTCACATAAAACAGCTTATAGCAACTAGCTTGTGACTGATCCTTAACAACCCATGAGGATTACCTTCATTCTCAATCTTTTACAAGCTCCAACACTTTCTTCAACAATTATAGTTTTGTAATTGATCCTCAACAACCCATGAGAAATTCCTATATCAATATTGATGAAGTACTTTTATTTACACGTTAGCAATAAGCGTGACAAGTATGTTTGTCTAATTGACATGACTGACATTCAAATGACGAAAGCTTACAAAAACTAGGAACTAAAAGACACGTTTATTAAGACTAGGGTGACCCAAAAGTTGATGTGTGAGGCTTTGAGAAGCAATAGAATCACATGCCACTGATGGTGATAAATAATATAATCCTCCGAATGCACTCTCTGTTCCAATTGTCCATCATGTACGTCGATCCTAAACATAAATAAAATTATCAATAAACAAAAATGAACAATTAAAACTACGAGTCGACTTTTTAACAGATTTAGATTGAAAGGACAACCAAAAGTACAAAACACAAAATCTAAAGACAAGTTTAAAAGTGGGTGTGCTTGACCAAGGACTCGAACTTTGATTTTAGAGTCATCTGCCATAGTGACAAAAGACAAAGAATCAGATTAAGGCAAGTTAGATAAACACAATATATTGTTAGTCATATGATCAGAGACACCAGAGTTAAGGACCCAATGACCTAAGGAGTCAAATGAAGAGACAAAGGCTATAGAATTACTAAACTGAGCAATGATGGCAGAAGCTGATGGTTGATGGGTTGCTTTGAATTGAAGAAACTCATTGTAATCAACGACCGAAATAGTAACTTCTTTGATGATAGTTGGTTAAACAATAATAGCAACTCTAGTTTATCGTTGTTGTTCTCTTTCCTTTGTATGATGTTTATCTGTCCCGGTTAGTTTCTTGTACGGAATGAACGAAACTTTAGTAAAAGTGACGAAATTGGTGGTGTAGTGATTTTTCATGAGAGTTGATAGCTTAAAAGTGTGCAAACAAGGTTGCTCAGTGATGGGGAAAATAGTGACAGTCGCAATGAAGGAAATTTTTTTGAGTTATTTGAATAGTAAATCGTATTTTGTAGATCAGAAATAAAAATTAAGTGTAGATATAGAATCTGGACAAAAAATCAAATCATAGGGTAAACAACGGAAGAGACGGTGGTCAGGCGCAAAATAGATTCCACCAAGTAAAACATCTATCAAGTATCCAAAATTAACAAATTTATCTATGCAATAATTCTCTTCTCGAAAGACATGAAAATCCAAAATCAGACAAAAAAAAAGTAAAGCAAATACAATTATGGCTGCGGTTTCTAAGGCGCAAGGAAACAAAATGTGGAGAGTAAGAAAGGAAGGACAGCCAAAGAAGAGCTACACTTCAATTCAAACAAAGGTTATGCCATTATTTATTTGTCTTTTATGCTGATGAAGTTCTGTAGTGCAGACTGGAGATTCGCAAGGACAAAGTGATAAAAAAAAACTGTTTTTCTGAAAAAGGAAATAGGAATAGAGATTATCCACTTGGAAGGAGGAAGTACAGACTACAGACGCCCCCCGTTCACATCCTTTCTGTCTATTCTTCATTGTAGACGTACACTGATGATGCATGCACGTCGGTAATAGATTTGATTGATTTCAGAGCTTTACCAAGCTGGGACAAACAAACAAAGCCAGGACCACATTTTTGTCTCCTAAGAATAAAATATATTTGACTCAAAGAATCACAGTGTTGTCGAAATACTAGTAGTTTTTTTGTAACTTCTAAGCATTTCTCATGTATTGTCACAAATATGAGTCAAACTAGTCATACATATTAATTCAAACAACATAGTGTTTTACTTTCCACCAATTAGTACAACATAGTGTTTTTTCGAGATGAGAAAGTGAAAAAAAATAGTGTTTTACTCGGCTGAAGGTGCAGGCGCATCCTTGACTGATTCACGCCATGCGTACTCTCTTGCACCATCCTTGTCAACAATCTTGATAACAAAGTTTGGAGGTGCGACCACCAACCTTAATCTGATTTCCATAATGCACTTATCAACAAGATCGATTGCTTCTTCCATAGACATTCCGCTATGGAAGTGTCTGTCCATCATTGACAGGGAGAAATAGGAACCGTAACCAAAAGCTCCCTTTTCAAGCTTGTGAAGTGTTGCAATGTAGTCAATGTAGTATAGGGATGGGCCTATATCTTTGTCATAACCAGCAAGAAGGATGTTAACAGAGTAAGGGTTCTGAACAAAAAAAATCAAATTCACCTTATCAATAATCATAATGCAACATGGCTAATGAATTGTAGCTAAACAACATAAACCTAAGCATATCGGTAACTGCAGTTTTAAAAGCTTTTAATTCTTTTCCCAATTGACATAAGCCCTGTTTGGATAAACAACTTACTTAAGCACTTTAAGACATTAGCATTTATCACATGCTATTTATATAACAAAAACAAACAGTAAAATGAAGTCAAACCATCATTTTTTTTATACTTAGACAAGTTAACGAAGTGATTATAACCACTAGAAACTCACACACTGACCGTCAGGGTTCCAACCCTGTTGATGACATTTAAATTCAACCTAACAATATCGACTTTTGTCAGTTGAACTAGAATTCAACTAGAATTTACGGACATCAAACCATCATTTTACCGCCATTTTTATGTATGATAGAAGCTGTTTTAGTAAAACTATTATGGAGAGTTAATAGAAATAAGCTAAAAACAGCTTTTGGATAATCATAAGTTGTTTTTATTAGCTCTCACAAATCATCTCAGGAGTGTTAATGTAAATAACAAGCCTATGAAAAAACATGCAATTATTGATAGACTATGGTATCAAAATAGTACTAATTATTAGGGTTTCAAAGAAAGAACAAAAGGGGTAATTATTGATACCTTGCGGAGAGCGGTGGCGAGCTCGCCACGAGTGAAATTAGCGGCGGCGGCAGTGGTGAGAGGGATCCCATTACGGAACTGATACAATGCAACGTTCTTTTGAACATACTCAGTAAACTGAACCCTAAAATTGAAAACCAATGAATCAAAATCCAAATCAAAACTTGTAGTTACTCAGTTAGAAAGAGAAGAAGAAGAAGAATGAACCTGTCACCGGGTTCGCCACTAGCAGCAATGAGTTTATGGGAATCAAGGAACATGATCTTGTCTTCATTGGATTTGTGGACGAGGATGCTGTGTACTGCTGATGAATCTGCCACCACAATAGCGAAATCGTTTCCTACTAATCCGAATACACACTCCATGATTGATTTCTGAGTTTTTCTGATTTTCTGAAACTGTTTATGCTGCAAAAATATAACCCCTTTTCGTGTTGAAAAAGAAAAGCCATGTCAACTAGTTACACCCCCTTAATCTTAATTACGCCCCCTTCAAAAAGAAAAAGAATATAAAAAAAAGAAAAGATGCCGAACTTGTATTATTAGTTTTCGCACTTTCTTGGAACGCAAGCAATTCCAATTCTATCCTTATCAATCAACATCATGTGCTTCACAACAATTCTTGTTCTTCATTCTCCTTCGGACCGGAATTCCTTCTTGTAAGTAGTATTGCTTTTATTTTATGTTGCTTCTCATTTCAATTTTTTCATAAATTGTTTCTGCTAATAGTTTTGAAAGATCCCAATGAGTACTCCGACGAATTGTGAAAGAGACAGAGATATTACTATAACAAGAAGTAATAGAAAACATGAATCATCTTCTAGTGTTAAGGGGTCGAAGTTTAAGTCTGGTAGTAGTAGTAGTGGCATAACCAAATCAATTCATCCTCCGATTGAATCGCATTGGGATCTTCCTACACCAAAAGGAAAGAAAAGAGCTTCCTTCTCCATCAAGTCAATGCTGTCTTACTCTCTTACGAAATTTGGAAGGAGTAAAAGTATGGAAATTGTTTTACAAGGAATTCATGATCCAAAAGATGAAAAAATCGTTGAGAATTTCCGCGAAATGCTTTCTCGCGAGGGTCTTTTACCACATAACCACAATGATTATCATACTCTTCTAAGGTAAAATATGTTTTTGTCTCTTCTGTTCTGAGTTTGAGGCAAAGTTTATATGGATTTAGTTGGTTAATTGTGTTAATTCCCTTTGATGTTCAAGGTTTCTGCGCATGAATGATTTTGATATCACAATATCCAAAGAAATGTTTCTCAATTATCTCAAATGGCGAAAGGAATTTCGAGTTGACATGATTCATAAGGAATTCAAATTCACAGAATACACAGAAGTGAAGAAATGCTACCCTCATGGATACCATGGAGTTGATAAATGTGGAAGACCTGTGTATATTGAAAGACTTGGGATGATTGATGTTAACAAATTGTGGCAAGTAACAACACACGAAAGGTTTATAAAGCATCATGTGTTAGAACAAGAGAAAACGCTACGAGTACGCTACCCTGCATGTTCATTAGCTGCTAAAAGACACATAGCTTCCACCACAAGTATCGTGGATGTCCATGGAATAGTAAGCAATTTTTTTTCGATATAGTTTAATTTTTTTGTTAGAACATGTTTGCCACTTTCAATCTATAGTGTTTCATAATCAACTATATGGAATAGCGGTGCTAATTCGGTTATCTGGTTGTATTATTTTTCAAGGGAATGTCTAATTTCTCAAAGCCCGCGAGGTACTTATTTATGGAAATTCAGAAGATCGATAGCAGTTACTATCCTGAGGTACTTTTTGTTAATCATATCTCATAAGAAAATGATTTGGTGATAATAGTGGTTGATTAGTATTCATCGTTATTCTTGCAGACTCTAAATAAACTCTTCATTGTTAATGCTGGTTCTGGATTCAAGATATTGTGGAAAGCAGTGAAGGCATTCCTAAGCGAACGGACAGTAGCGAAAATTCAAGTATGTATAGTTTCTATATTGCACATTTTTCCATCTCAGATGCAGGGCCGTCTTAAGTTTTTTGAGGTTCTATGCAAGTTAGCCACGGTTCAACCTAGAAAAATTAATATAGGCCCTAATTAACAGTGGTTTAGTCGTTTAAAATATTTTATGAGGCCTATTTAGGACCTCGTGCGGTAGCCCGCTTTACAGGCCCTCAAAGACGACCCTGCTCAGATGCAATGTTACTGCAAAACTAAATTTGATTATCGCAATCTCTAGTAGACAAACTTGTGTTTTGATTGAATCTCCAACTTTTCTGTTTCAGGTTTTGGGTCCTGATTATTCTAGTGTGCTGCTAGAGACTATTGATCCAAGGTAAAAAGAATTTTGCATCGTTAAGCCATGATTTTTTGTGTTGTAGAAACTTTGGGAAGTTGAAACCTTTTTGATGAATTTGTTACTACTTATAATTGTTTTATTTTACAGTAATTTGCCAACTTTTTTGGGTGGTAATTGCATATGTTCTGATTACGGAGGTTGCTTGATGAGTGATCAAGGTCCATGGAAAAATCAAGAGTTCTTAGAAATGATTCAGGTTTGTCAATATCATGAACACATTATTTGCTGGTAGAAATAACTAACAAGGATGTATAATTATTCGCGCAGACAGTTTCTTTAACAGAAAAAACCGACGAAAACAACAATGTGGTTTCAGAAGGATTCTTGATGCACAAAAAGGTAACAAAAACATTCACAAGTTTTTGTACCTATCACACATTGATCCTTGCTTTAACATACTCAAATGCAGGTTGACATGGAAAACAAAGACGATGTTAGAACAGATCTACCATGTCGGTTAGCATTACAAAAAATCGATCGCCTTGAAGATAGTCTCGGTGACATCAAGAATGTGAGTTTTGATACAATGATTTATTTCTCCATGATAAACACAGGTAATTAATTCAATATGGTTAGGGTAATTTTCTGATGTATAATACTTGTAACAGAAAATCAAGACATTGGAAGATGCACTTCAAGAAACTAAGATGGTGAGTTCAGCAGCATTGTTGAATATTTTCTTTAGTATTGTCAAATGATCTTTTGTTTCAATTTTCTTTTTCAGGCATTGAAAGAACTTGGACAACATATAGAAGAACAAAAAATGTGAATTTCTCAAAGTGTAAACAAAATTGCAATGAGACAGTGACTTATATTCCCATTCTGTTATGAACACTGAAAGTTAGAAAAAAGTGGTTGTGTAGCAACTTATAATAAATAAGGTCTATGATCTAGTCTATTTTAGATCTAAGATCAAGTTTTTTTTTTAATTATAAATATAAAACACGAATGCTTTTTCTTTTAAGTTATTAAAAAAAGTCAATGGAATAGTCATAAAAATATCATTTTAGGGGTACCAAGTTTATCTAATTTCTCTAGGAACTAAGTCGATATACATAAATAATATAAGTAATAATTTTTCATTACTATTAATATGATATTTAATTTTGTATTTTGAAATAAATTGTATATGTATTTTAATTTTTTTTCAATAATTTAAATATGTATTTTGTCCCTACAAATAAATATACATTTTTTGGTTTGATTTTAGTCCTAAAATTTTGTTGGTTTGATTTTGGTCCTTTCAAGTATATGTTATTTTGCTTTTGGTATTTACTCTATTGTTTTAATTTTATTAGGGAAATTTTTAATACATCTTATATGTTACTTATGCACTATGAAAAATATTAAAATGTCTTTTAGTTTTTAGAGATGTATTTTCGGATGCATCCAATACACATTTAACGCAGACTATTCTGAGTGACACCTTATAAGTTGAGTTTTTTTAATACTCGAGATACGTCTCCAAAATATTTTTATATATGCATTTTTGTAATGCAGACACAAAAGTAGTAGAGGCAGACACCAAAATCATATAATTTTTCAAAATAAAATTAACATTAATAAAATAAAATAAGCATTACATAGATGATTTCAACATAAAATGTAACATTACACTTCAATATCCAAGTGGACCCTTCAACATCTTCACAATATCTTCAATCGATTTTGAAATCATCGCTTCTAACTCGAGCGGAACTTTGTTTCAAACGAAAATACGTAATCCACATAGCCTTTACATCTGCATCCGTCTTGAGCTCAAAGTTGTTGAACTCAATCTTTCCTTCGTTGTCAACTAACGGTGAACGGTACTCGATCTTCACAATTTTTCTATTGTCTCCGTAAGGTAGGAGATTATGGACTTCGTATGTAATATCCCATATACCCTTAAACTCTCAATTGGTTGTCAGTTGAGACCAACTGAGTTCATATGTACTCTATCTCTTGTTAGTTGGAACAGTTTGAGCTCCTATGTGCTCTAAATGTTGTCAGTTGGGACTAATAAAGTAATCAGTGGACTCTGAAGAGATCAATCCTTATTAAAAGAAAGTACAAGAGGGGACATTTTGGTAATATTAATAATTGGTCAATTAGTACTAAAAGACAAAAATATCAATTGAGATATTTTTTATCACTACTTAATATCATATATTATATAATATGTATGTATAATGTGGTGGAAATGACAAAAGAAGTAGAAAGAGATAAGATTGAGAAAGAGAGAGTTTTAGAAAATGGAAGAAGAGAAAGGAAAGAAAGAGTAACAAGAAAGAAAGAAAAAAAAGAAGAAGAAAACGTGAGAAAGAGGAAAAAAGAAAGAGGGAGAGGAGAGAAAAGAGAAGGAAGAAGAAAAAAGAGAAAGGATGAAGAAACTCATTATCACCACCATCATCTCATCTTCATCCTCCTTATCATCATCATTATCATCATCATCATCATCATCATCATCATCATCATTCATCATCATCACGAGGTGAGTTCATAGATAGTGTTAGCAAATGAGAAGAATTTCATGAGAATGCGGTTAGGATTTGTGTGTTCTAACTCTAATCATGGGAAATGATGATGTTACATTTTTTTTTATTTCATGCTTGTTGATGATAGTACATGTTGATTAATGTTATGATAGAACCATGAGTTGTGTTATCATGCTGACATTATATCATGTGTTTTAATGTTATGTTGTTTTTCTACATGTTATTGATGCTTGAGGGTATATGAATGATGAAATTCATGGTGTGGGATGTTTGGGTATGCTAGGAGGTGTTTATACATGGCTTAAATTGGATAAAAGTTGGAAAATGGAGTTTTATGAGTTCTGAAACTGGTTTTCGTGCTATGCCCAGCCTAGGGGTGTTACGCGCAACCCTAACCACTTCTTGGGGCTGCTAGCGCATGGCCTCTATTTTCCTGACGCAAAGCCCCACTTTCTAGTGCAGAGCGCGGCTGACATATTTACGTTTTTCCATCTATACTATTTGTGGCATAAATTATGTTTCGTAACTCCGCTTGACGCTCAGTCGGATGCGTTGGAAAGCTATTTCAATTATCTATTAGATGGTGAAGTAAAAACATCATTTATGTCAATGATTGATAGGATACTGATGATAAAATAGTATGTATGCTATGAACTATTATGGATTGTTGATTGAATACCATGGTACTTGTTTCCACCAAAATTCAAGAACCGTGAATCCAATTGCTGTGAGACTTGAAGCTTTGGAAAGATAATCCAGTGGGATATTGCATGGTGTTGAGAGACTATTAACTAACCAATAATGCTTGATAGATGATAGTGATGATTGTATGCCTTAAGTGAACTGCTTATGTTTGACTTGTTTGTGCATAACAACTTGAATAACCTAAGATAATGATGAGTATGTTGTGAGCTGGATATGCCTAGGAACTAATGTGACATGTTATGCTACTATGTGTGATATTTTAATATGTATGCTATAAATGGATTGAATATTTTGATTATGAAATAACATGATAAAAACTTTATGAAGATGAGTGAGGAAACCTAGGATATAACTAGGTAAATAAACTAGAAAGATAATTAAGGTATGATGAATTACTTAGATGGAAATGATTATACACAATGATACCTAGGTGTGTATCATGGACAAGTAGTTGTTTAGCTAAGTATAATAGGCATTGTATGGAACATGTGATGTTGTTGTGAATGTTAAGGTGAATGTGATCGCCTTGTGGTTGTCGAATGTAATCACGTCGTGTTTCTATTTAATTACGTAGTCGAAAACAACCCCTTGATTGTATTGTTCCAAGTTGTGATGCTTATATAAAGTAAGAATTAGGATGTATGCAGTCATACTTGAATGACTTGGGCTTGAGTCCCAAAGGCGATGGATCTCATGGTGGTGAAAATCCCATATGGGTAAAAGGCTTGAAATAAGTTAAGATTCCCATAGGAAACGACGATTTTTAAGATGAATGTTTTCCCTTAGAATCTGAAATCCATACGTATGTTAAAGTATGAGATGTCTAGGTATCTGTGACCCGTGTCGATAACCCTAGGCATATGGCTTGCTGTGGAAGATACTGATGATATAAGTATTTGTGACCCGTGTCAATTACCCTAGACATAGGGCTTGCCGGGGAAAGATAATTATGATACAAGGATCCGTGACCCTAGTCGATAACTCTAGACGTAGGGCTTTCCAGGGAAAGGCACCTTGATTTGGTTTTCGATTAGTGACTATTTAAGTTGATGGACTTAATAGACATGTTTCCATACATTGCGAGTTTTGTGAACTCAAGACTTTTCCCTTTTTAGACTTGAGTTAGGATTTGATTAGATTCCTATAGAGCCAAGTGAACCCATAGGATAGAGGAACTCACTGAGATTATTATCTCACCTCAATATTGTTGTTGCTTTTCAGGTATTGTTTGCAGGTTTAGTATACAAGAGGAGTTGTGTATTGATGTTTCAAGGGAAGCTTTTATTGTGGTCTTTCGCTATGGATTTTGTACAATTGTAGATATCGTACATAGTTCTTATATTTTTATTTAGCCACTATTGTATGACATTTTCCATATGTTGTATTTTATTTTATGGATATGTATATAAAGATGTCTTTAGGCACTTATGTTGTGGCAGTACCAAAAATTAACATGTGTATGATATTATTCTAGATATATATTATACGGGTTATTACATCGTATTTTAGATATGAGAGAGAGGTGTACTCAGTGAGCTTAAACTTTTGCCTAGGGGTCGCGCTAGAGAATGAGACATTTGCGACATACCAAGTGATGTTGATTTGTGACATTTGAGACATTTTTTGTTTGTGTGAAATACAAAAACCAGAGCCCGAAAATTTATAGAAGTTGTAGACAAATATTGACCATTTAAAACCTGATTTCAGAGATATATCTCCGGGTCTGCATCCTATTATCTTATTCTAGAGATGCATCTCTGAAACCTCTCCCGAACAGGTTTGAAAACATAACCTTTTTTTTTTTACAAACGAACAAATGTTGTTATGCGAAAGATAAAAAGTGTATTAAGACACAATGACAAATTGAATATATTACATTTCATTAATATTGAGACACAATTACATATACTTATTTGTCAGACTAAACACGAAATTAAAATGAATAGAAACATTTGTCGTCGGCTAAATCTATTGGCGGTACCGTACCCCCTTTCACTTTTGTGCATTTGATTCTAATTGCTCAATTTGTTAAACTCTTGCATCATTTCCATAAAATGGTCTGACCAAGTCTCTCTTTTGTTGTTGAATGAGCCGTTCACTCCAGTGATGTAAGTGGTATAGGGAATCCCGATTTCAAGTAAACTTGAACAAAAATTGTGATTTTAAAAGTCACCAAATACATATAATACAGTCATTTGGATTTTGAGGTGGGGTTGTGCGTAGTGGGAAAAAGATTTTCAAAAAACTGTATTGTGTCAGATCAACATACACTCTATCATACACACATGCTATGAGGTGATCCATTTCAGGGAAGCACGTCCATTTTGCCTCCGGTTTTGGTCCGTTAAGGTAAGGAACAAGAGACTCATAAAACTTCATCAAATTTTTCTTTCTTTATGTACATCTGTGTGTATGACTTTTTATGAGTCCTCAACTCTTGGATAAGTTGACGACGGACAAGTGTATGATTATTTTCTCCTTTACTGAGTAAAGTTGAAACATCTTGATAACCGTAATTACCATCCTCCTTAACATTGACGTTCCGTTCGATGTATTTGTGCATAAAAACCGACATCTCGTCAATGAA